TTTTTTTTTATGTAACGATTTATATATAATATTTCGTAGAATTTTTTTTTCGAATTTATTACCGTAATTTTTTTTATTTATTGTAACAAACAAACAAACAACAAACATATTGAGTAATAATAAAATGTGTTAAGTTTTTATAAATAATTTTTTTAATATTTATTTGGTAATAAACAAAAAAAAAAAAAAAATTGGAGCCAAAAAATTTTTTTATGCAAAATCGTTTGTTTGTTTGTATGTAACAACCACAAAAAATTTCATAAAATTTAAATATTTTTAAACGAGTAACATTATTTTATGATAACAATACTCGATTGTTTATTATTTGTTTGTTTGTTTGTTGCGAATCGTTTCCGATTGTTTCGACATACTGGGGAGGGGGCGCGATGGGGAGGGGAAAGATAAGAAAATAAAATTGTCGTTAACGTAAATTTATTCACGTGTTAAGAAATAATAAAATTTTTACCAACAAATGCAACAACAACAACAAACGATTTTTTTTTTCGTGTATGATTAAAATTAAATGCGTTTTTTTTTTCTAATCGATTATTAATTGATTTAATTATGAAACAACCACAACAACAACAACAACAATTATAATTTCGTAATAATAATAATTTTGATCGGAGAGTAACAAACATTTTGTAATAATAATAATAATAATAATTTAACGATCGTTACGTTGTTGCCAAATAATAACAACAAACGGAATTATAACAAACTTTATACAACTTTTCTTTCTCCTTTTTTTTTTTTTTTGCCAAAACTCGTATTTTTAATATGAAAAAAAAAAAAAAAAATTTTAGCAAGTAAATATGGCTTCCGGGGTAGATGGGGAATCAAGGAAGGGAGGGTAGGGGAGAGGGGAGGGAGGGAGGAGGGGCACATTACATTTTTTATAAAAAAAAAACCGTCGGGAAAATTTATACTTCCTGTGATTTAAAAAAAAATTATTAACGAATTGCATAATGCATTCATTCATTCATTCATTGATCTTAAACAAACCGGAAACAGTTAATTTTTTTTTTTTTTGTCGTTCGATATTAAGGTCGAAGGATCGATCGATATTCGGTTCGAGTATTTGAAAAAATTCGAGTTATCTAAGGTTTGTTATCATCAATTTCATAACAAACCGGGTTTATGAAATTTCGAATTGAATAAGCACCAGGAAGAAGAAGAAAAAAAATTGGGAGGGTATGAATGAGAGATTTTAGGGCATATTAGAATGCAAAATCGTCAAATGACCTCTCTTTCTATCTCTCTCTCTCTCTCTCTCTCTCTCTCTCTCTCTCTCACTCTTACCATTGTTTGTTAGGTACTAATTAAAAAAATAGAATGTTCTAGAAAAAAAGAAACAAAGAAAATAAAATTTTTATAATTCAGGTTGAGGATACAAAAAAAAAACAAACGGGGGAAATTAATTATTATTATTTATTAAATAAAACCCTTAATTTTTACCACCCTGACAGTTTATACCCTAATAATAATAATAATAATTTTAACCGCCATTTTGTTATTACTTTATGTCATTTTTTTTTATTCTCGTCGTCGTCGTCGTAATTTGAACTTTCTAAATTTAATAATGATTTTTTAATTGTCCGCGGTGTGTATTATTTAAACAAAATATTTATTTATTTATGATTGATTTGTCGTCGTCAAAACATTTTAAACTCGACCTAATATTTTATAATAATAATAATAGTAATAATAATAATAATTTTAAAGAAAACAGGGCGTTTCTTTTTATTTTAGAAAAAAAAAAAATCTTTAAATTCTTCCGTTCGATGTAGATCGTTTGTTTTATTATTATTATTATTATTATTATTTCTTAAAGCAAGTATGTTATCATCATTATCATCATCATTTGGTAACAAAGATTGATTCTATTACGAAAAAATTTGAAATTTTAAAATGAAAAAAAAAAAAGAGTAAGAAATTAAGAAATTTCGTTCGAATTCATTCAAAAAAAAAAAAAAAAAAAAAATTCGATTTATTTATCGAACGATTTATCGATCGATTTTATAAAAAAAATTGATTTATTGATTTTTTCTTTTTAAAAATAAAAACCGGTAAAACCATTATGAATCAACAAATAATAATAATAATAATAAATAGATTTTACATCAAAAATTTTGGTTAAAAAAAAGGAAAAAAAAAGAAAAAAAAAACATCAATTAATAATAATAATTTTATGTAATTATCAAAATTTTGTTCTTTTTATGTAAGGTCAATAATGATGGGTAATAATAATAATAATAATAATAATAATAATAATAATAATAATAATAATAATAATAATAATAATAATAATAATAATAATAATAATAATAATAATAAATTTTAATGGAACAATTACCGTTGGTAAAAAAAATAAAAAAAGAAAATTTAAATTACGTAAATTTAAAAAAAAAAAAATTGTTTTTAAATAAAACAGGAAACGTTAAAAAAAATTTTTTTTTTTATTTTTTACTTTAATAAATTCCTGGAGAAATTTTATTAATTTTTTTTCTGTACTCAAAAAAAAAAAAAAAAAAACAAAAAGTAATAAAAATTTCTTTTATTATTATTATTATAATAATTATTATTATTTTGACTTTTAATAGACGAGATCATGACGGTACATTTTGAGAGAGAGAGAAAAAGTAAAAATAATAAAAATAAAAATATATGTTTGTGTATATCTCGCGGTTTCATTACTTGTATCAAACTAAAAATTAAAAAATTATTACTATTATTATTATTATTAATTCGTTCGTGCACTTACGAACGCGTGCGTGCGTACGTGCGCTCGCACGTGCGTGTACGCACATTCACTTCATCTTTCCGTTTTTTTTTTTTTTTACATCGATACGACTGTTGGACGGCTTTTTTAATTATTTAATATTATGACCCCAAAAAATAAATAAATAAATAAAAAAAGTGAAAATAATAATAATAATAATAATGATGATGATGATGATGATGATGATGATAACTTAAAGAAAAAAATTTTTTTATATCATTCGAGTAGTTGTGGTTAAAAAAAAAACGTTTTTGTCGTTACCCCGCGCGTTACACGCAATTTGTAACAAAAAAATAATAATGATGATGATGATGATAAATAAACATACGTGGATTTGTATATAAAAATTATTGAAAATTTTTGTGTTTGTAATAGTAAAACAAACGGAGGTGAAAGAATGAAAAATGAAAGTAAAATGATGGGCAGTAAAAGAATAAGGCGGTCGACCTCGAATTTGATCATTGCATCTCCCTAATATAATATTTTGTCGCTCACCTCCAACTTTTTGTTCAAGGGTAATTTTTTTTTTTTTTTATATAAAAATCGTTTTTTTTTTTTTTTTCTAAATACGGTGAAAGTAATAAAATCTTATTGATGCGTTATAAAAAAAAAGGGAAACAAGTTGCAAGAAGAAGAAGAATAAAAAAAAACGTTAAAAAAATAATAATAATAAATATATATGTATCGCAAAATCATCTTTCGACGTCGTACCTGTCATTTTTATTCTTTCCTCCATCTTTTGATAATAAAGAAATAATATTTTTAATAAAAAAAGTGATTAAAAATATTAATAAATATATATTAAAAAAGGTCGGAGGTCAATTAAGTCTCTCTACCAATCTAGTTCGATTTTTTTCCCCTTCACTCTCTATGTGTTCAACCCATAAAAAATTACAAAATCGATTCGTTTTTAAGCAAAAAAAATTTACTACACATATTAATAATAATAATAATAATAATAAATAATACCTTCGAGCGTGAAAAAGATGTCTGCTTTTTTTTTTTTTATGAAAATGGAGTCAGTCAGGGATCCGGATAAAAAGTTGCCTATTAAAAATTTCTTGGGTCGTATTGAGGACGTTGTCGTCCTCGACACGTTTTTTTTTTTTACTTAAAAAAAAAAAAAAAAGTTAATAAAAAAATTGTAACTGATCAAACTTTAGATACATAGTTTTTTATTTAAATGCTAAAATTTCGCATGATGAATATTAAATTAATAATAATAATAATAATGATGATAATAAGACCCAAATTAAGAAATTTAAAGGGAAAAAAAATTTTCTCGATTGAAATAAAAAAAAGAATGATAAACTTTTGTTAATGACGATTATTATTATTATTATTATTATTATTATGGTGATGGTGACGGTGATGGTGACGGTGGTGGTGATGATGATGATGATGATAAAAAAAGGTGACGGATAATGCGCGACGGTTTTTTTTTTCTTGTAATGTTTTGCTCTGTATTTCATGTTTTATTAAAAATTATTATTATTATTTCTTTCTTTCTTTCTTTCTTTCTTTAGGGAAACCAAGTCACGATCGATAAATTTGATAATAATAATAATAATAATAATAAAAACTTTCACTGAAATAACCTTTTGATCCTCGTGTGGCCGTCTTATAAATAATAAAAAGTTACACGACCTCCTTAACAGTGACCTTACTTAAAATAAAAAAAAAAAAAATGATTATGTAAAAAAAAAATTTTTTTCATTTTTTTTTATTTCCTTAATGTCGTCGTCTCTCTCGTCAATAATAATAATAAGTTTCCAATTAGGAAGTTTTTTTTTAATATTTTTTTTTTTTTTCTTAAAAATCACTTTTTATGACGAAACATTTTATTCGCCATATTGTGAATATTTATCACACAGAGTTAAATACTTTTTAACTTTTACCATTATGCATTACGCCGCCTCGTAAACCTCCTCATCATCACGTATACGACCGTAATTTTTTTAAATTTGGAACCCTCTTCCCCCCCTTCCCCCCACCTCCCTCACCACCACCTAATTACGAGAACCTAAAATATATTAAAAAAAAAAAAAAAAAAATTACGTAATGATTTCGTATTTCGTGTGCCAATATTTCGTATTTCGCTATAAAATGTCTTATTTTTTTCTATATTATTTATTTATTTAAAAAAAATCGATGCGGTGTCGTCGATTAAAAACATTGTTATTATTATTATTATTGTTATAAAAGAAAATTTTTTGTTTTATGGATTATTAACATCATCGAGACTTGAAAATCTTTTTTCCCATTCTTTGCTATTCTTTAAATTCAACGGATAAGGTAAAAACGAAGTCCATTTTAAATTAAAAAAGTCGTATATTAAATAAAAATTCCGAAAATTTGTATCGGCGAGATGTGAAAAATTTGGATCACCCCGAAAAGCTTCGACGGACGTTTCCGGTCTTTGATCAACCCAAGTCGGATATCGAACGAATCTGAAATTTTCACAAGGTTCCACGATTCCATCGAGTAGAGACACGTGTCGTACGTGTGCAATGTTATCCAACGCGGGGATTCGAAATATCGTCGGTATGGAATTGTATGAATAATAAGGCCTGCTGTATATGTCCCAAATCAATGGCGGATACGGTAGTATTTCTCTTATCACCATCATATTTTGCGGTTTGATTTCGTTTTCCGAACTCATAGAAACTATTTCCGTTTCGTACGAATCGTATGATAAATCGGATTTCGATATTCTTAGAAAAATTTCATCTAATTTTTCCAATATAATCAATTGTAAGTAATTATAAAGTGAATGATCCGAGCTCGCGTTCGATTCTGGTTCCGTACTTTCTCCTTTACTTGAAAATGCATCTTGGTATATGAATGCGTTGTTTGCATTTTCAAATATTCTCTGATAGCTGCTTAAAGAATTCATGGATTTCTCGGATGTTTTAACTTGGGGTTTGAATATGAATTGCGATTGTGCCACGCTTAAACCAATATTTTTATTATAGAGACTCCCGTACTCGATGTACGCTTTGAGTTCTTTCCATTCGAAACATTTTAAAACGTGAGACGTACATATAAAATGAGAGAGCATCATGGTGTACGTGTAATCCCTTTGTGGCTCGTATATTATCGGTGAAAATTCAACGACTTTAACTTTTTCCGTGTCTCTCTGGGGTAGAACCACATCGAAAGTGCTAAATCTCGGTATGAATATTCCTTCGGCTGCTTTCAACATGTCTTCTTTCGTTTGAACGTGAACGTTTTGTTCCGAATCGCTTCGTAATATTTTTTCCGTTACGCTTTCCGATTGATTTTTCATATTCGTATCCGAATCAATTTTTTTTATTTGTGAATTCGAATATAATTCATATGAAAATTGCCTTTCCGGATTGTTAACGTTTGCTTTATTGTATGGAAAATTAAACGCGAGAGGTTCCTGGTATAGTGAGTTTATGTTGAAAGGTTCGGGTATTTTAATGTCGGGTTTGACGCTGTACAACAAAGTAAAACAAAAAATGACCGGTGGGAGAGGATAATGTTTGATGAGATGATACCTCAAAACGACTTGTCTCCTCGGTATTTCGGGTATGGCGTTTAATTCATTATTTTCCGTTAATATCATTTCTTCGTAATGACTGCTTTGATATTTAGCACTCCATATTTTTTTATCCGCTTGATTTTCCACATCTTTCCACCTGATTTCGTCAAAGGATATTTCGGATAAGCCAGAATATAACGTTCCCTGAGACGATTTATTTTCCGAAAGTGTGGCTCGAGACTCATTCACAACACTCATGTCCAAATCGTTTTCTATAAGACCACCCGATTCGCGTTTGACGTAAAATGGAATTTTAAACCTGTACGCTTTACAATAGTAATACATAAAATCTAAATATTCTTTTTCCAAACACGTTATTTTTTTATTTTCGTTGTGGACTTTTAAAAAGAGAGCCAAAAAAACACAACCCGTGCAGGAGGGATTTAATTTCGGGTAAATCGGTCGAACGGATCCCAAAACGTGCAAAGCTTTGTGAATTAATTTCGATATGGTTTGCTCTAGGAATCCCATCGGTGGAAGAGAAGTTACTTTCGGGGGACCAAGTTTTTCAACGGCTTGAGATTTATAGTGAGATCCTTCGAACGCTGTGTCAGCATGACCGTAACGCCAGGGCAAAGTCATAAATCTTTCTAGCATGCTTTCATTTTTGAATAAATATATTTCGTTAAAATATAATGCTGCGTAATCCCAAGAACCCTCCCAATCCAAACTACTGGGAAAATCGATTTTCGTAACCGCGCAACGTCCGTGTCCGTGAAGTCCATATTTGTTTCGGATGGTTTCTTTTTCTTGCGAATCCAATCTCGTAGGAAAATGTAATGGCCAGGGACGAACGTGTGGCGGTAGGAATTTTTTCGGATGGTTTAAAAATTCATCAAAGTGACTATGGCACACCCAATAGAAATGACTATTGAATTGAACGAGGCCCGCATAGATTTTATCTTCTGTCGTTGATTTTAACCTGTGAAATTTTCCCCAACACACCGGACAATTTCCCAAAATATCACTTCTCCTACATTCGAACTCTTGTTTCGTAACGCACAAATATTTTAGGGGTAAAACTTTTTCCGTCGTGGAAAATTCAACGTAATTCAAAATCCCGAAATAAGGATTTTTAAATAAATCGTAAGCCTCGTAAAAAATATCACATAAACTCGACTTCGCATTTATTTCGTATAAATTATTATAAGTTTTTTTATTCCATTGGCAAAATTTCTCGTAGGTTTCTTTCCATTCCGTGTACCTCGAGTCTAAATTAACCCTTTGCTTGTAAGGGAGACGATATTCTTTTAAATTTAACATGGATCTTTTTTTTTTACCAAAATTAGAATCGCAAACTAAACTTAATATAACAAATGGTAAAATTTTTTTTTCAGCCAAACTTTGAGCGGTAGCAGCATCGAAAGGTATGCCATCGAAAACGAATCCTTGCGTCACGCAACGTGGATCGTTCAAGCAAGCAGCCAAAGCTTCTATTTTTAAGCTCAAAGGTAAGAAGCAACCTCTTTTCAAATGATTATCTATAGTTTTTCTCAGTTTGCTATTTTTCATGTTGTCCAAAACGAATCGGATGGCGGTTCCCATCGTGATTACTTTTAAACCGAACATACTCCCTAAACGTTTACATAATGTAGATTTCCCAGATTTCGGAGGTCCTATAACGGCTAATCTCAAAGGTACGCACGGATGATGAGGTTCGTGAAAAGTATATTTAATTGGATCTTCTATGAATTTAATCTTTTCATTTTCTCCAGCTATAAAATATATGTAACTTCGATAAACTATCGGAAATATTTTTTTTCTCAAACTGAACGGTCTGAACATGTTAACGGGATTTTTCTTACGATGCGCTTGAACCGGACACAATCTACCAAATTTACTTAAAAAATAAAAACCCTGATCTAATAATTTTTCAGCCATTTCCGGTGATACCGGAAATGCAAATTCTACTCTTTGATTTTTCCTTTTTTTAAATTTATCGAGTTCAATAAAGACTTTTGTCAAGTCGTGACAATCGTAAGTCGTATACCATGGCAATCCTAAATTTTTCAATTGACCTTTTATTTTAACCATTTCCAAAACGTCTTTGTGATAATTGTATTTGATGTCTTCTTGTATTCTCGCTTTTCCTTCCTCGTAAGTTTCAAATTTCGGACTGAATTTGAGGGGAGGAAATTCTCTTTTAAGTTGTTGTTCGATTTCGCTGTGTACCTTATCGGAAATCGTGCTCCTATCGAATGATAGAGGAGATTGAAAACCCATTTTCAACGATGCCTTCCTACTTTCTTTTAATATATCGGAGTCTTGAGTTTTTTTCTGGAACGAATTTTTTGGAACAACATTTTGTTTTACATTTTCTACTTGTTCTTCGTCGTCTTCCTTTTGTTTTTCCCTTGACATTAACAATTCAACCCTTTTCAAATTGATTCTTGTTTCTTGTATTGTTTTTACTGCATCTTCGATCAATTGCTCATTGGCCGTTTCTTTATTTAATTTTATTTCCCACACGGCCATTAATTTTTCTAAGCTATTTTGTATAGCCGCTTCTTCCGTTATGTTTACTTCTAATATAAAATCCGGTAACCAGTTGTTATTTAATATTGTTTGACAATCTGCTAATTTCATTGGGAAATCTTTCATTACGAAACCTTCCCTCACGTAAGGTTCCTCTTTCCAAAGGATCCCCAAAGACTTTTGTATGCAAAAATCAGATAGCGTAGCATCGCTGTGAATGTAGTTCTCTAACAAAGTCGTAAGGCGATCCATATTTAAATATTTTTCCGCGTCGATTTTCGACAAATTAAAAAAATCAACTGTGTCTTCGGGGCAAGAATTAAGAGTTTCATAATTTAAATTAACATTTACTAAATCAACCGGCGTTTCTTCGAGATCTAACAGTTCTCGAATCTGCTGTTCTTGCTCCTCGTTTTCCAAGTAAAACGGAGGATTTTCCAACCAAAATTGTCTTTTTTTAAAAGAAGCACCTTTAAATTCTAAAAATGCTTTTTTCGCGTTCGCGTTGTGACTGTTCGAAAGTAACACGGGCTTATCCAAAGCTCTTATTTTGTTCGGCGCAGGATTTACGTGAGGGATCAATTGTTTATTTAAAAGTCTTATGTAATCTATGTAGTGAAGGCTGCACTGTTTGGAAATGCAGGATCCTAAATGAGGTTTATTACCTCCAAAGGGTCCAACCACGAAAATTCTTAACGGTGGCAAGCTACGTATGGGAGAATAAAAAGGAGCATATTTTTCCGGATTTTCAATGAATTTTTCTTTTGCATCCGAATTCCAAAAACAATACAATTTACCGTAATACCTTAATACGTGTTCCACGTTTCCTTTGAGAAGAATATTTCTTTCAAGGTTAACGATGCAAAACGGTCCGGATTCTCCGAAAATTCTAACATCTTCGTAATTTTCCATTTCTTTTTCAAACGCATCATTTTCATCATCATCGAAATTTACAGGTTCGTAATTCTCATCGTGTTTCTCAATTTTTCTTATCATTTTTTTTTCCATTTCAAATGCTTTTTTAACTTCTTCGATTTCGTACGGGAGGAGTTCTCTTGGTTTTTTACCGAACGGCGAATATAATTCGTGGATTACGTTTGAAAATACGTCGTCTGTTTTTTTACCATTAACGTCGATTTCTATCCATTTAATTTCTCTTTTAATTAAACTTAACCATTCCTTTAAGTCTTTTAATCTTTCAGTCAATGATAAAAGTAGGAAAAAAAATTCGATGCCTTTTTTATAGGTTTGATCATCCTCGTCTGAATTGAATTCGTCGGATGGATGTTTAGACAAAACGTTTAAAACTTTATTTGTAAAAAATTGTAATTTAGTGCCGAGCGGAAAGTCTTGCATCGAAGCATCCAATTGACGATTTAAATGTGAAAGTCTGCTTTCTCGTACGGAAAAATTCGATGTTAATATGCTTGATTCTTCGAGTGCCAATTCTTCGGAAGTATCGAATAACCTTTTAATTTTATCATGAAGAACATTATAACAAAAGGGATCAACGATATACGGCTGAGTTGTTTTTTCTTTATAAACGCTACTGTCTGAAATAAGTACGTTGAATATATCATCTAACACTTTTTCCTCTTGTGAAACCATCTTGCAACTTTCAGTTAACTTGTGAAGAATATCTTCCTTTACACTTACTGGAACATCAGTGCCCGATTCATCCCGTTCTCCGAAATCTTCAAAACTTTTATTGGACGATCCATGTTTTCGAATTAAGTCTAACTCGAGATCACTCATTGCCGATGATTGAGAATCGATATAATCAAAAAATTTATTGTACCAAATGGTTACGATTCGACGGTAATCCGGTTCGGAATCCGTTAAAACGTATATATGAGTAGGAAAAATATTTTCTCTCGCCAATACACACCAAACTTCGAAATCCAAAGACATGTTATCTACGACCCAACCCCCTGGTGATAAAATTTCCCCAGTGATTCTCATGCTATCTTTTTCAATTTTTTCTATTTCGTTCTTTAGCAGTGTTCCTATTTCATCTTTGTAGTGATGCAAACTTACGATTTTAGCACGATTTACTGCGTCTTGACCGGCCTGAACCAATGTCGGATGATTTGAACTTATAGGATCTGGTATCATTGGCCTCTCTTTAATCCATTCCGGACAGTATTTGTACAACAATATGGGATTATCCGTTAAAAGTTCACAGAGTGGAATGTCCATATAGCACGGCAATCGCCATTTAGCAAATTCCGTTTTTAACGTGCTCGGTTCCCAGTATACTTTCGATGCTGCCTCCAATAAAATTCTAAAAGTTTTTATTCTTTCCCTTGTCGAATAAGGTTTTTTTTTTAACAAGAGACTAGATAATGATTGAGGAGGTAATAAATTGCACCAATTAACGCTTATGTTACTTGGAGAAGAGTCTTCTCCATAGTGAGAAAACTCAGCGCTACCTTCCTCGTATTCTGTATCTTCTCCATTTTCAGATTGATATTTTTTATTTTGAGTTTCAGTTTCTTTTAAATTTCTCATACGTTCAAAAAAACTATTCCACAACGTTGAAAAAAAAACATTTGCTTCAAATTCTAAACCGTTTTTAGAAAAATCGTAATCTTCGTGTCTAAGAGCCTGAATTATTTTAACTGATGGTGATGAATAATTATCCGGCGTCACCACATTTCTCGCTTCGAAAGTACGAGATGCGGATGTTATCGGCACTCCTCTAACTGTTAAATTAGTTGCCGAGTCTTTTTTAGACCTATCTTCTTCTTCTTCTTCTTCATCTTCATCTTCATCATCTTCTTCTTCTTCTTGTTCTACTGAAAAATCATCCCTCGTTCGATTTTTTGAAATATTCTTTTTATCTACAGATTTTACTTTTTTTTTCCGAAAAGAATAAAATTCTTCTATTCTTCGATTTAAAAGCGACTGAAGAAATTCAATGCATTCTTCAATGAGGGAAACTCTTTCTTCTTCTTCTAATCTCCAATTTTTCCACGATAAAGCCGTCAATCGGAAAAATTCTCTGGCAATTGCTTTTTCTTTGCAATGTTTTATATAAATATTTTTTTTAGCTTCTAAATCTTCTTTCAAAACGGAATTTAAATCAATTAGCGGTACACCAAATTCGTTTGATATTGCTTCTGCTAATTTTGTTTTGTCGCAAAATGGATATCCGATGATGAAAATACGAATCGGTGGCTTTGGTCTTACTGGTAGTACAAACGGTCGAGGATTTTTTAAAAATTTTAACATGGATTCTTTATCGTGAGTAAAATATATGTATTTCATAAATCTAACGGCGAATTCTGTTTTTCCCTCAATTATTTCACCGTTTCTCAACGCCACTGGACAAACATAATTATAATGTGATAATTCCCATCGAAATTTCGGTGAGAGAGTTTCTTTAGATAAAAGAGTTAAAAAAGCCGATTCCGGAGGTTCTTTAATAATACTTTGAAGTTCTAAATCATCGTTTTTATTATTAAATCTTTTATTTAATTCATTATTTTGAGGCGACTCATCAACTTCTGTCGCGTTTGTAATATCTTCATTGTTTTTTTCAACATTATCTGTTTCCGACGGGGGAAAAATGGGAACTGGATTAGGTACTTTTCGAATTTGTAACAAGCTTAAACGAGCTTTGATTATTTCAAAATTATTTTGTATTCTAGAATCTACTGTAATAAAATATTGAGGATCAACACGTATTTTTAATAACTGCAATGCCGGTTGAATAATTTCGTAAAAAGTTTGTAACTCCTCCCAAATGCGAGATTCTTCATCTTTAGGATGAGTAATCCAAGGAGAGGAAGGAGAAACATCTATATCCGGTTCCAGCACCGCTTCATCAATATCTAAATTTTCTTCATCCTTAGAAACGCACAAATTAACATCACCATCACCATCATCATTGTTATTATCTTCTGTAATTTCCTTACAATAAAATCTTGGAATGATGCAACATTTATTGCCTTCGGATGAATTGACTATTTCATATCGTTCGCAAGATCTCAAAACAATTAAATCTTCATCTTCAAAAGCAACGTAAATAAATACATTAGGTTTGTTTTCCCAAGTAAAAAGGTAACTTAATTGCTGTTCAACGGATAAATCAAATCGAAAAGGCGCACACGGCAATCCACTTAACACGTATCCACGATGCCTTGCTTCTGCAGAATGTGCCACATAGGAAAGCAAGGCCAAAATAAAATTAAAAGATAATGGAACTCCTAAACGTAAAAGTTTTTTTAAAAATTCAGCTGTCTGAGATTCAGTATTAATAGTTTGACGGATTATTTCTTCTACTTCGAGTAAAACGCTACCGTATTCCTCTGCAATTTCGCGACACAATTTTCGAACCTTATTCCCAGATTTTCCGAGTACGACGAAACAAGGAGGAGGATTACGTAAATAAACTTCTTCGGCTAAATCTTCGACGAAGCAATTTTGAATATCCCGATTAAAGTCACATTCGTATTCAATAACATTCTCATCTGTAGTAGAAGGATAAATAAGATCAGCTTTAGGTTTCCAATCTCGTATTAAAAATCCTGGAAAATAATATCTATTTATTTGTTCTACTAATATTTTTTGTAAAAAATAAGTTTTTTTTGATATTATCCCTCTTTTAGATTCTTTTATAACAATTTCTGGTTTTGGACGCACACGTACATCCATCGCATATTTTATACTTATTATTATTATTATTATTATTATTTAAAATAATCGTATCGATTAAGTTCCCGTCCTTATATAAGTATAAAAATAATATTTTCATTTTCTATGATTACGTTGACCAACATTTAAATTTATTGGACTCTATTAGTTTTTTATATATTGCCAACTAAATATTTTTTGCATAATATATTTAAATACTATATGAGTATTATAAATAATAATAAAAATATTAAAATATATACATTTTATACTAAAAAGTGTAACCATTATTATTTTATTATGACATATTTTAAATGTATATTAAAACTCAAAATTAAAATTTTTGATGAGATAAGAATTTGCAATGTTACTTTAATCTTATTTGTTCACTTAGTTTTTAGGTGAATCCATTTGATCTTCAAAGCCTTTGCTTTTTATCTTGACATCACCTAATAAAAGTTTTCAAGTCTCCTCATAGTATGACAACCTTACTACCGATTCAAACGATTAATATGATCCTTTTAATGATTAATAGAGAAAATCATAATAGCCGAACAGATAGGCCATTTTAGTTTTGTAGTATTATTTATAAAACATTAGTTAATAATAAATTTTGCCATCATAAACTTAATATTAATTTTAATAAATACATAATTAATTATATGATAATAACTTTATATTTCAAATGATAATAAAATTATAAAACATTTATAAATACCTTTTATAATTAATGAATATTAAGTACTTATAAATTTGCCTCATCTTGGACTTTTCACGACAATTCTAGTGACACGAAACAAAGCAATGCTAAACATGGGTATTAATCATTTCCGGTTTTTTTTTAACGGTATTAAATTTAAAAATATAAAATACTTTAATAAAGAACGTCTATGGAATTGTCGTCCGGTGTTGCCATTTTAGTTTTTTCTAAGTTAATTTGCAAAACAATTTAATTTAATTTAATTTAAAATATATTTTTTTATTTGTTTAAAATATGCATTGTAAATTTAACTTAAATGTATTTTAATTTAAACGGAATAAATATGTACATTTTAAAAAGTTTTTACTTGGTACTTCGTTAATTAAAAAAAAAAAATGTAAGAATTCATATTTCCCGAATTGTCATTACAATTGTTTACTTTTTTTTTTTTTTAAAAAGGTGTAATTTTTAAAAAATATATTAAGTTATTAAAAAATGTTTCAACGCTATCTGTTTCTTCAAATAAAATGATTTTAAGTAAACCAAATAAAAGTTATTAAACAATTAAAGTGAATATAGTTATCTGAATAATCTGTTTAACTAATAAACAACTTTAGAGAATTTTTTAATATTTTATTAATTGTAATAAAAAGTAATATAAAAAAAAAAAACTTAATTTTACAACTTGCTTTTTTCTTTTAATTTTATAATTAATTAAAGATAAAACATTCATTGATAAAATATGTTTAATTTTAAAATTATTTCTAATGCTTTGTTGCAAAGTTTAAAATAATTAAACTGATGAGTTTTATTTAATTAACTAATAATTTTAATGTAATTATGAAATTTATAGCGAATAATAATTTTTTTACTGATTAATGCATAACTAATTTGATAACATATTTTTTTTTTTCAGGCAAAATGAGGGGTTACATGGGAGTTGAATCCAAACATCGTCAAACCTATGGCAAAAAAGTGAAAATTAGAAGAAAGATTAAAAACTGGGGTCAGTTAATATTAGGAACCATCACTGGATTGTTTTTGGGTCTTTTAGCAGAATCAAATATATTTTTTAATGGAATGTTTTTAACAAATTCTACCTGTTTTATATCATCATCCTATGGGGTAAAAAAATTAAATATAAATGTTTTATTTCTTATTTTATTTGTTGCATATAAACTTTTTTAGAAACAGCACAGCATGTTTTGAAATTTAAATTATTTTTTTAAAAAAGTACTTTGTGTATAAAATAGCAAAAACAATTGAATGATAAATTGTAATTTTAGGTCAAGTCCATTAGAAATGCTTTCGGATTGAAATACAATGAGGATCCGATGGAAATATTACAAATGAATTCATCTTATTTAAAAAACCAAATGAATCAAGATAATCTGGTCTTTGTTGGAGTAATGACTGCTCAAAAGTATTTATCATCCAGAGCAGTTGCTGTTTTTGAAACATGGGGAAGAGAACTTCCAGGAAAAATTGCATTTTTCAGTTCGGAAACTTCTACTGTTCCTAGTCATAGAAAAGATTTACCATTGGTTCGATTAAAAAACGTAGATGATAGCTATCCTCCTCAAAAAAAGAGTTTTATGATGCTTCGATACATGTGGGAAAATTATGGTGAGTATTTAAACTTATCATTACTTATTCATCCATTATTAATACATCTTCAATAATATTACATTAATTTTATTGTAAAGGTGATCGTTTTGAGTGGTTTATACGAGCTGATGATGATGTTTACATTAGGCCAGACAAGCTGGAAACTTTTTTAAGATCAATGGATAGTAGGAAACCGCTTTTTATTGGTCAAGCTGGAAGAGGTAATCAAGAAGAGTTTGGTTTGCTAAGTTTGGAATATGATGAAAATTTTTGTATGGGAGGACCAGGAATTATATTAAGTAGAGAAACACTTAAAAGGTTTTTAAATTTAATTTAAATTTTTAATTAATTTTTTTTTATTTTATACCCATAATAATATTTAATATATATATTTTTTATCTTAAAGCGAAGAAATTTTTTAAACAGAAAATATATATATGTAAAATGTTAGAGCCCCGAAGGTTTCGAAGAAAACAACTTTATTTTATAAAATAATAAGTAATAACTTTTTTAAACAAATTATTTTTACTTTTTTTTTTTTTTTTTCTTTTTTTTGCTTTATATATTTTATTTTAAAAGTTGTGTTGTTTAAAATTTTACATTGATAGTCAATTGAATCCCGAATGAATTTTCTTTTAAAAAAATTATTATTGTTTTTTGTTTTACAGGGTAGCACCTCACATACGCCATTGTTTAAAAAATTTATATACAACTCATGAAGATGTGGAATTAGGGCGTTGTGTTAGAAAATTTGCTGATGTTTCTTGCACTTGGTCTTATGAGGTATGTAACAAAGTAGTTTGCTTATATATGATGTCACTATGAGATGTTTTCTAAAGGGAAATTTTTCAGATGCAAACCATATTGTATCATAATTCAAGCGGTCATGAAGCTTTCACAGGAAATCTCAAACAAAAAGAAGTAAATAGAGCAATAACATTACACCCTGTAAAACAGTACAGACACTTGTACAGAGTACACAGTTACATGAGGGTAAGTACATAAATACTTTAATAAATTTTTTTTATTAAGATTTATGAGATGTCGCTGGGTTGAGTGATAAATTTATACGATAAAAAATTTTTATTTTACTTTTTTTTTTCTTGCTTTCGAAGTGATTTGTAAACGGTAAGAAATTGTTTTTCCCATATTTTGCACATATAGCATTTGTTTCAACGATATTTTTTATTATTATTATTTAATTATTTTTGTTTTGAAGCAATTGAAAATTGAAGAAACCATTCACGACATTGTTTTACTTTTGAGAGATATAAGAAAAAATTATGAAATAATTAAAAAAAATGAAGAATATGAAAAAGAATTATCGACGGCACTGAAAACCATATTGTACAAAAACGAATTGGATAAAAAAATGATGGAAGACATCGATTATATCGGTTTGGAGCCTAATTTAAAAAAATTTGAACCTAAATCCGAAAAAGAAATTCTTCATTGGGATTTCATACAAAGATCATTATATTCAGCTGATAATTTAAATCCCAGAAGAAGAATGGAAAGAGCTTATAAAGAGGGAATCGAAGACGTCATACGCGAAGTAAAATAATATTTTACTTTTGTGCCTCGTTTCGTAAATGTGAAATAAGTAGTTAAAAATACTCCATTTTGTTTTTAGTTTATGGAAACAATTAATAAGTTTTCCCGTCAAAGAGGAAGAGTCATTGAATATCAAGATTTACTTTATGGTTATGCGAGAATGGATCCCATTCACGGTGCCGATTTCATTTTAGATTTATTGTTGAAATATAAAAAGTATCGCGGAAGGAAAATGACGGTGCCTGTAAGAAGGCACGCATACCTACAACGACAATTTTCAGGTAATTATTTTACACATTAAAAACCTTATTTATTACTTTTAGAGCAAAGATCGTTTAATATAAAAAAAAAATTAAAAATTTTTAGGTTTAGAAATACGTGAAATCGATATAACGGATCAAATCGGAAGTGATAAATTTTCTCCAAAGAAAACATTCATACAAGAAGTCGTGGAAAATTCAATAAATAACATAAAGAATCATTTTTCCGATTCGACCCTCTTCAATCTCCAAGGTTGGATTCCTTCAATCAAGGAAAAGAAAATAATAAATTTTATTCTTCCTTTATCCGGAAGGTACAATACATTTTTAAGATTTATCAGAAATTACGAAGAAATTTGTTTGAAAAACGATAAATGGACGTCGCTTTTTATTATTTTATTTAAAAACGAAAAAGAAAATTCCGAGGGGAAAATTATTGAATACGTGGAAAAGCTAAAGAAAATTTACGAAAGCTCCATGGTCAAAGTTGTATCCGTAAATGATGAATTTGCGAGAGCCGCAGCTTTGGAAATAGGAGCAAGACAATGTCCAGATGACGAATTTAACATTTTATTTTTTATCGATGTCGACATGGTATTTGAGGAAACGACTTTAGAGAGAATAAGACTTAATACAATACAGGGAAGACAAATTTATTTTCCCATCGTGTTCAGCGAATTCGATCCGACGATCGTGTACAATAGCGAACAAGTGAAAGAATCGCCAAATCATTATTTGATCAATTCGAATACCGGATACTGGAGACAATTCGGATTCGGTATAGCGAGCATGTACAGCAAAGATCTCAAAATGGTCGGAGGTTATAATACGACCATAAAAGGTTGGGGTAAGGAAGACGTCGACGTTTTCGATAAATTTGTTACGTTTTCATCGAACATATCGATATTTCGATCCGTCGATCATACTCTCGTTCACGTTTTTCATCTAGTCGAGTGCAGTGAAAAATTAGAAGAATTACAATTAAAAATGTGCAAGGGTACTCGTAAAGATACCTACGGAAGCGTTGATCAATTAGCAAATTATTTATATGATAATCCGACTGATTTCGAACAGGGTGTTAAAAAAAAGAAGGCCAATATTTTATAGTTTTTTAAACTAAATGTTATAATAGTTCTATTATAATTTACAATATTATCCTTAACGTATTGAAAAAAAAAATTAAAAGAGGTTTATATATATATCTGCACCATATCAATATCACATTAGGAATTTAAAAAAAAAAAAAATTGTAAATAAAGTTTAGTAAGGTGCAAGGTTTTTTTTTTTTTTTAAAATTTATAAGAAAGAAGACATTTCATTAAACATCGATAACAATTTTGTAAGAATGATACACAAGACTCTTAGGATTAGTTTTTAAGAATTTCCTTAAAAAATTTAACAAAGATTTGAGATTTTAATTAATGTTAATTAATTTATTAGGTTTTATGATACATTACAACTGTAAACAATAATAAAAAGAACAAACGTTATAAAAGTAAAAAAAAAAAAAAAGTTTACTTTTGAAACATTAGGTTTTTTATCATTATTATTATTAAATTAGGATTTGTTTTTCATGATGAAATTTAGCAAATGTTTGAGCTACAAGCAATGGGAAAACAATTGTCGCATCTGCATACACTTTAACTGGATTAGCATTTTTTTTAATTTTACCCCAGGAAATAGCTTCATCAGGTCTGGCTCCACTATCGCTACCATCAAATTCATTACTAGTATTAATAAAAACAGAATAATCAGCACCATTCCTCATCAAATTGGCATTGCAAATGTGATGTTTAACAACACCACTACCTAAAATTAACATTCCTGTTTTTTTTGATTTTAAAGATATGGAATTAATTTTTTTCAAATCACTTAATATATCAACGACTAAACCTGGATTTTTATACGAATGAAAAAACATCATATCCCCTATGCTGCCATCAGTCAAAGCAGGACAAAATACTGGAATTTTATTTTTTGCTGCCCAATAATAGACAGAGTCTGTATTGTTTATTTCTTCTCCCAATCTGGCTATAATTGAAGAAGGAGACCATATAATATTTTTTTCTTTTTGTTCTTCAACCATTTTGTCAAATATTGGTAAAATCCAATCTTCGAATAAACAGTAATTATTATTTGGAACTAATAAATTTCCTATTCTATTAATTCCTTTTTCCCTTAATGTTTTCCCATCTAAATTAAAATTTCCTAAATATGTTGGAGCTAAACATTTAATTAAATCTTCTTCAACTCCACCTGCTGTGGTCACAATACAATCGACTAACTTATGTTGAACTAAGAATTTTATAGTTTCCCTTAAACCACATGAAATCATATTTGATGTATATCCTAGAAAAATGGTGCAATTTGATTTAGGGCAAGGCCATTCATCATCAAAATCATTTTCACTAACATAGTTTTCCCTTTTATGTTCAAGCATTTTATTAACTTCTTCTACTGCTAAACCTAAATTTGTCGCTTGAAAACCAGTTGTTATATATTTTTTAAATATATCTTCATAAATTATTCCTTTATTCCAATCGTAACCCTCGATGACAAGTGAATCTGATGGAAGATTTTCACTAGGTAATAATACTGCAGTTTTGGCATTTTCAACATTCATTATTTTAAATACCTAAAATAGAAACAATTTAATAAAAATTAATAAAATTTTCTAAAAGTTATTAGGGGGTAAAAAATATTTTGATAATTATTGTTTTTCTTTTTTAACTTAAGTTTTAACAATGTCAGTATTAAATAAATCTTACCTTGTAAAGAATTTAATTCAAGTTTAATAAATTATAATTTTTAGGCTTTGAAAAAATTTGCCACAGGTAATAATGGTAGATTATTAAGGTAAAATTTTACGAAATTACGCAATGTTTTGACATTTTTTATAAAATTAATTTAACTAATGTAGCCTTGATTTTTCAATAATTGAGAGGCTGACATGTTTTCCTTTTTTTCTTTTTATAAAATTATGAAAATTTATTATTTTGATGAATTAATATGTAGACTATTCAGGAACATAACCAAAAAGTTACCGATGGAATGTCAAAAGACTACGTAAATACAAAAATGAGTCAAACTTTTTTAAAATTTAAAAAATTATTAAAAAGAAAAAAAAATTTTTTTTTATATTTATATAATTTACAGAAAACTTAATAATTAAAATTTAATTGATTTTATAATGAATATTGAAAAAGAGCGGCAAATATGATTTTTTGAAAAGCGGAAACAGTGTTTTGTACTTCAGAACAGAACCGACTCTGACCTTTGTATTCATGTACAGTCGATGTTAAAATCCTAAATAAAATAATTAAGAAAACATTTGAGATATTGTCATTAATTAATTGACGGTTAACGTTAGTTTTATTAACACTTTAAATATTAATAAAACTTTTTATTGTGTTTTTTTAAATTTAAAAACTTTAATTAGTGTTTTATTACATTTCCGCGTTGTATGAAGGAGATCTAAGCTAAGCTGTCGGCCATCTTGAAACAACAACTTTTTAGACGGAAAACATTAGTGCTCGACTTTTTCTTTGGAAAAAAACCATATTATGAGAGGGAAAGTCGATATGGATGAAGATGAAAAAGGGTGAGGACATAATTTTCGTATGATGGCTTTAATGTTTAATATAAAATTTTTAATTATATACCGCATTTGAATTGTTGAAAATGCGGCTTGGGTAGGAACATCGTGATCGAGAACGCCATCGATTTTTTTTCATTATGCTTGTTAAAAATTAAGTAATTTCTCAGTTTAGTACACAATTCCTTTCGTTTTAAAGTCTCTCAGAAAACCTAACTTTAAAATTTTTTGTTAAATGAATGAAGCATACTTTCAAGTTCAAATTCGTACTATTCCTTTATTGTAATTATTATTATTATTACTATTATTTTTTTTTTTTTTTTACCGAAACATCATTTAACATTTTATTTAAAAAGTTATAAGTTTTCAAATGTGTAAAACTTTCGTTTTTTGTATACTTTTTTTTTTTGTAAAGTTATTTACTTATTTTTCTTATTTAATTTATGTACTTTCTTAAATTATTCTGTTATATTATGTGACCTTTTAATTACATACATAATATTCATTAAAACATGATGGTACAAATCAAACATTGTGCCATTGATAAATTTGTTATGAATTTATTAATGTTAGTGTCGAAATCAATTTTTATGAAATAATAATACTCGATAATAAATTAAAATTTATTATTAAATTTGATTGATGTTCCATATCGTTTATTAACATTGTTAAATTAATTGTATTGATTTTAAATTAAATTAAAATTAATTTATATTGTTTTTTATATTTTCAGAAAGTTGTTTGTTGGAGGCCTCAGTTGGGAGACAACACAAGGTACATTTATTTAAATTTATAAACATCATTTAATAAAATAAACAGCAATTATTATCATATTTATATTCGGAAAACCTATTTTAAAGTTTGTGTTTATTATTTTTTTAATAATTTTAAACATAATTTTGAAATTTTTTTTTAATGTACTAATTATTGTAACTTTGTACAAGTACATTATTTAATCTAAATTTATTTAAACGAAACATAGTCCCATAATTAAATTTTTTGCGAGTTGAATATTGTTATAAGAATGAACAAAGCTGGTAATATATTAAACCAGAATTATTTCTAATGATTTATTGAATTTATTTTAAAATAAATGCCCTAAAAAATTTATATTTTTATTAGCTAATAAGTCATAAAATTTTATCAATTAAATCAAAATATATATAATAAGATGTTGTTTCGAAATGACAATATTTTTTTAAGTTGTAGTGATCGCACAATGGTTTTAATTCATATTTATTTATAAATATTTTTAAAAGTTTTTGTTTTTAATTAATTATATTATGATATAAAATTTCAGAGGCTCTTCAGAGATATTTTTCTCGTTATGGAGATGTTGTTGATTGCGTTGTAATGAAAAATACGGAGTCTGGACGATCGCGAGGATTTGGTTTTGTGACTTTTGCAGATCCTACCAATGTTGGTGTTGTTTTACAAAATGGACCCCATGTTCTCGATGGAAGAACAGTAAGTTTAATTTTCTTTATTTTATTAATGTACAAAAAACACTATCGATATTTGATGTAAATGTTAATTTTATTTATCATAATTTCCACAATTTTTTTTTTTTTTTTTTTTTGGCATCTTTTTTTTTAATTTAATTTTATAATTAATTAAATTTTAATAATAAAAATATGTGTTAGCATTCTTTTTTTTTTTTTTTTTTTTTTAAATTCTTTAATCTGGCTTCTGTTTTGTGTTATTTATAATAATTAAATATTTTGCTAAACAATTAAATTTTAAATATTTATAAACTTTTAACTAAGATTTTATATTTAAATTCAAATATTATTATATTAGAAATTTGTGTGCATATTTAAATTTATGAAGGTTATAAGTAAAATAATTTGATCAAAATTTTTACCAATTTAAAATGTCTTTTGTTATTAATTTTAGTATTTATTTTGATCTTGTTGCATTTTACAGATTGACCCGAAGCCTTGCAATCCTAGAACATTATCAAAACCAAAAAGAAATAATGGCTATCCTAAAGTTTTTCTCGGAGGATTGCCTTCGAATGTAACAGAAACGGATTTGAGACAATTTTTTATGAGGTACGGAAAAGTTATGGAAGTTGTAATAATGTATGATCAAGAAAAAAAGAAATCTAGAGGTAAGTTTTAAAAAAAATAAGTAAATAAATTTATTGTTATTGTTTACTTTAAAATTAATTATAAATTTTTATTTTTTTAAATAGGATTTGGATTTTTGTCTTTTGAAGATGAAGATGCTGTCGAACGTTGTGTGGCCGACCACTTTGTTAATCTACATGGAAAGCAGGTAAATTATTTATTCTTATTATTATTATTATTATTTATTATTTGCCTACGTCATAAATAAATATTTTTCATTTTGATATCATGAAATGTATGTTCCGGTTGTAAGTTAAAACGGTTTTACTGATTTTTATTGATTTTGTGCGGTTTTAAAGTGCTAATTTTTTATTTACCCTTTTTTTTTTTTTTAAGGTTGAAATTAAAAAAGCGGAACCTCGGGATGCATCAGGAAAAATGAATGATAGCGGAAATACTTGGGGTGCTCCTCAAGGCGGACCTCAAATGGGATTAGGAGGAGTACGTTTATATATTTTTTACACGTTTTAATAATCATGTTGTTGTTGTAAACAAGTTGCCATAAGGCAAATGATTTAGTTTGAAAAGTTTTTCATTACGTGACATTTTTCATTTTTGTTTTTATATTTGTGTACTTTGAAATGATAAATTTCAGGGAATGGGAATCGGGGGACCCAATGGTCAAATGTCTGGACCTATTGGAGGTATGAGCCATCTTCCTCCTGGTAATATGATGCAGAGTTATCAAGGATGGGGAACTCCACCTGCTTCCACAGGATATCCAGGTTTTTAAAAAAATAATTATTATTCTATAAAGATTAATTGTTTTTAATCGATTGATTTTGTGGTTAATTGTTTTGTTTTTAACGTTTCAGGGCAATGGGGTCCTAGTCCTCCGAATGGACCACCCGTCAATGGTATGTTTAATTTCAATTTTTATTTTAAAGTATAACAACTAAAAAAGTTAAAAGTGTTTTAAAATTTTTACGCGTATTTTTTTTTTAAATTTTATAAAAATATTTTTTTTTTTTTTGGGTTTCAATATTTTCGGAATTACAATTTTAATTTCTTAGCAGGTTATGGCACTCCTTCCGGAGGTTATCAACAATGGGGAGCTCCCCCAGGCCCACAAAATCAACAAATACCTCCTCCTCAGTGGGGTTCCAATTATGCTTCACAGCAAAACTATGGATCTTACGGACCTCCTCAAGGACCTCAAAGTGGTTATTCTAGTAGTTGGAATTGGAACATGCCCCAAAGTTCGGGAGGTCCGGGTCAAGGTGGTCCGGGACCCACTCAAGGAGGACCTCAAGGAGATATATACACTAGAGCTGCGTCTAATGCCGGACCTGGGAGCGGCGGCCCGGCTCCGCCAGGTTCTGGTCCCACTCAAAAAACTGCGGATTACAGCTACGGAAGCTACGGTGCATACTCTCAGGTAAATAATTTTACTTAATTATTCTTAATCGACTTTTTTTCAAAAATAATAAAAATCGAGATATAAAAACTCGGTTATAATGTTTGAAGCAAAAAAAACTCATTGTTTAGGATTCTTCGAGTTATGGAGGATCGACCAGGAGCTATGACACTACGTCTGCTAGTGGCAATGGAACTCCAGGATATGCTTCCCATGCACCACCAGTTCCAGGTCAGAAAGCATTTGATTACAAAGAATGGCCCACCTCGTGATTTTATCAGTTTTAAATAAATGATTGCATGGATTCATTTTTTTTTTTTTTTTTTTTTTTTTTTTTTTTTTTTTTGTAAAAAGTAAATTAATGGGATCACATTTCAGTGATTTGTCTTGTTTATTTTACGTAACATTAAAAAGAAAATCTAGGTTTGTATTAATTCAAAGATGTCGTGGCTGATTATTATTATTATTATTATTATTATTATTATTATTTTTCTTTTATTTTGAAACATTTTATATTTATTTACATTTTCTTATTCTGATGTGAATCCGACTCTCCAAATAGTAAGTGATTTATTTAAACTTTTTAATTTTTATAATAATCAAGAAACGAGTACGCTCGGGGGGGGGGGAGGGTGATGGGTTTGAATTATAATTTTATAAAAATTAAAATATTTTACCATTATTATTATTATTACTTTGTCAAACATAAAATGGCGTTTAAAAAAAAAAAAAAGAAGGAAAATCCGATGAAATGATGTTTTTTACTTAAGGCTCATTTGTCAGAGGTTTATTATATTCGGTTATCATCCATCCCTTTATAATATTATTGTTATATTTTTTTTTTAAATGTTTTTTAAACTAAAATCTTATTTATTGATAAAAAAAAATTATTTAAAAAGTGCTAAATTAAAAAATTAATAACTACATGATAATAATACTATTAATGAATGACGCGCGTATTAGAAATGCAAAAAAAAAAATTATAGAAACAAATGATGAGAGTGAGCAGAAATCATTAAAAATTTAAAAATTTGTTTGCTTGCCTTGAGAAAATAATATAATAATATAAAAAATATATATATATATATATGTATATATATACATATATAACTTAAAAATAATTAGGTTAAACAAAGTGTAATTTTTTTCCTTTTGTATTTAATAATAATAATAATAATAATAATAATAATAATAATAATATGTAAAATTTGAGAGTTATTAAGAGTTCACACGAACTTAACATATTAAGATTTTAAAAAAAGAAAAAAATTTCGTGTAAAAAAAAATTAAATAAATTATTTATATAATATTAATAATAATAATAATAATTAATTTTTTTTTTAATACTTTAAGAATTTGACAACTAATACCAATTAGGATGATGATGATTATTATTGATTATTATTTTTTTTTTTTTTAATTTAAATAACAAAAAAAAAAAGTTGTGTGATTCGTACATTGATTAATTAATTAATTAATTTTGTTTAATAATATTATTATTATTTTTGTTGGATGATTTTATTATATGTGTAGTGATGAGTTATATAAAAAATCGACCTAAATAGGCAATAAACTCTTTAATAAAAAATTAATTAATTTAGGTTTTAATTAATTTAGGTTTTTTTAAAATGCCTTAAGTTGATGAGAGAGAGAGAGAGAAAATATATATATATACGTGCATATATATATATATATATATAAATAAATAAAATATTTATTAAATTAAGCGAGTATTCTAAAAGTTATAAGGAATATAAAATGCATAATTACATAATGTATAAATAAATTAATAAATAAAAATAATAATAATAAATGTTTCAATTGGATACATAAATAAATAAGAAAATTTTTATAATTTTTTTTAATTTTTGCCTTTTTTTTTACACGAAATTTAAATTTGTGATTGATTGATTGATTGATTGATCGATCGATGGGAAAAAAATCAAAATTATAGAATCGTTTTAGTACTTATTATTATTATTATTATTTGAAAATAAGGAAAAGAAAATATTTGAGAGTAATTATTAAAAAAAAAATTTATTAAACTAATGCAATTATTTATTTATTTATTTATTTTTATTTGGATGATAATAATGATGCTTTTTATAATAATCAGATTTAATTTTTTTTTTTTCCATATAAAAAAAAATTTTTTTAATTATTTCGACATCTTTGAATTTAAAAAAAAAAAAAAAAAAAAAAAAAATGTAATAACTATACATACATATAAATTAAATTGGCCTAATTTTTTTTTTAATTATTACTTTTAAACAAAACAAATTTAAATTTTTTTTTTTTTTTTTTTTAATTATCATAATCATTAATTGATTGATTTTAATTGTAAAACGTGGGTCATTCTTTTCTCTTTTTTTTCTCTTTTTTTTGTAATTTTTTTTTCTCGAATTATTATTATTATTATTTTAAAAAAAAAAACAACAACAGGAAAAAAAGGAAAATGGAAAAATTTATTATTGAATGGAAATTTTTTTTTTTTTTTATTTAAAGTACTTGTAGGTAGTGTAAACAAATTAAAACATAAATACTACTAGTAGTACATATAAAAAACACGTGCAAAAAAAAATAATAATAATAATTAGACGTGTGAAAAGGGGTAAATAACGTGTTTTTTTTCCTAAATAACTTTTTTTTACTTTTTAATTTAAATTTAAATTTTATTTTGTAATTTTAATAACGATCACGATCTCTCCTTACAAAAAATATTTTTTTTTTAATATTTGTGGTAAAGAAAAAAAAAGAAAATTTTTCCATATGAGCAAAATCTAAATAATAATAATAATAATAATAATTTTTGTTTTTTATTAATTGATTAATTACAATTATACGTCGTCAATATGTGTAGAATCATGAGGTCATGTTTTCATCTTTTTTTAATTAGTATATATATATATATTTATATAAATATTCGTAAATTCGTTCGTTGTTGTAATTACCGTAGAAAAAATTATTTATGAAAAAAATAATAATGATGATGATAAAAAGAAGAAAACCGGAACGATTTGTTATTGTAAATTATTTATTGTAATAACAATTAAGAAAATGATCCATTGAAATGAAATGTTGAATTTACAAGGGGGGGTGGGGTGGGGTGATGAGAGTAAAAAAAATATAAGCAATTATTATTACACATTAAAAAATGATCATTAACGTATTATTATTATTATTACATATATATTTATATGATTTAAAAATAAAAATTGTAAATGTATCGAGAAAAGGGTTTAAATGTTGGGGTGATGTAAAAATTATTATTATTATTTTCGGATATATATAATGATAATTTTTTTTTTTTTTGTAACTGATAATATGATAAGAACGACTTGCCATATAAGTGCATGGATCACATTGTGGTTTTTTTTTTATTTTTATTATGAATGACGAAAAAAATATAAAAAAAGGGCTACTATTATTATTATTATTATTATTATTATTATTATTATTATTAATACTTAAACTTATTTAATGTATGATAACAATAATTTTTTGTACTTTTTTTTTTTTTTTTGAGTAAATTGTAAATTTGGGGTGGATATAAAAAAAAAATTATAATTAATTAATTAGGGTAAGGAAGTAAGGGATGAAGGAAGGGAGGAATATTTTTATTGTGGTGCGTGAATCTGTTGATTAACAAAACGCGTTTAAAAAAAATAATTTGTTTTCATATTATTATTATTATTATTATTATTATTATTATTAATTAATTGATTTTTTGGTTAAAAAGAAGAAGAAAAAGAAAAACAATACAAAACTGTCGATGAGCAATTTCTATCTTTTTTTTTTTCGTTTTCGTTTTTTAATTATACACAATTACTTAAGTGTCGTTTAACTATATATTTATATTAATATTAATATATATATAATTTAGCTCAAGTCATCATCGAAAAATATATATATTTATGTCCTTAAATTATTAATTAAGTGGGGAAAAGAAAAGAAAAGGAAAAGGAAAATTTTATTATTATCATTATGTATCATAATATATCTTACATACGGGGTGTTATTATTATTATTATTATTATTTATTTATTTTTATCTTTTTTTTTTTCGCGTATTTAATAATAAAATAGACAGAGAGAGACTCAATATAATTTTATTCGTACTAAAATAAATAAAATTAATTTAATTATTAAGATTATAAATAGCAAACTAATTATACGACAAAAAAAGGTTGCATCACATCGCTTTAATTATTATTATTATTATTATTATTATTATTATTATTATTATTAAATGTATGTATACACACGGTCGAAAAATAATAATTTAATTATTAATTAAAATTAATTAATTTTACTAAATCCGATAAATTACTAACTAATATTAATAAGAATGACTTTTATTATTATTATTATTATTATTATTTTTTTTTTTTTTTTTAAATTTAAACATAAGGGTTATTTATATATATATATATTATTAATTAATTATATATTTAAATTGACGACTGATTGATTTTAGGTAAATTTTAAGTGGAAAACAAATTTTATATATATATATATATATTATATTTATATTTATTATATATGTATATATTATATATAAACGTTATGTATTTATATATAATATATATGTATGTACGTGTTTAGATGCGTTAATTAAACATAATAATAAAAATTAATAATTTTTTTTTTTTTCTTATTTAAGTCAAACATAACTGAATAATAATAATAATAAGAGTAACGACTAAAAAAAAAATATTTTTTTTTGTTTTCTCTCCAAATAAATCAGGTATTTTATTAAATTTAGTTATTAAAACTATTATTATTATTATTATTATTATTATTATTATTATTATTATTATTATTATTACTATTACTATTATTAGAGGGAATTTTTAAATTTATGATTCTGATAAAAACATTAATATATATATTTAAATCACTTTGTGAAGTAGTATAGCAACTGGTGCTGAACATTTATTATTATTAATTATTATTATTATTATCGATACATTTTTTTGTTTGTTTGTTTGTTTACGATTAGTTTTAGGCATGTATAAAGAAAAAAAACCATAACAATTAAGAGAGAGAGGGAGAAAAAAGAAAACAATCAAATGAAACTTTTTTTATTTATTTAATTAATTAAAAGAGGAAAAAATGATTATGATATTAATAATAATGATAATGATAATAATAAATTTTTTTATGTTTAATTTTTTAGACTGTGTAATAAACTGTATAGGAAAAAAAAAATTTAGTTATAACGAAATTCGAGGTTATATAATATATATATATTATTTTACAAAAAATATAAT